TTACAAAAAATCCAAGAAAAAAATCAAAAATTAATAATAAAACATATTTAAGCTTATTGGAAAAAAATGAATTCAAATATTAAAAACAAAATCATAAATGTAAACAAACATATGTTTTGTTTATTGGCATCGAACATGGAATACATAACTACTGTAATTGTTTTATGACACACAAGCAAATTTGTAAACACTGCTTTCAGTTTCACCAAAAAAATAAAACTAAAATTTTTTGCAAATTTCCAATGAAAGTAGTTGCAAATACACAAAATTCTTCTAATTTACTTTGCGCTAAAATTTACACAAAACTTGCAATACTTTTGCTAACATACGAGTATTTTTACTATATAAATATATATATATGTATGTGTGTATGTATGAAAATGCTACTCGTCTAGGTAAAAAACTTTGCCAATTCCACTACTGACTTGGAAGCTTACCGCCAAATGTGTGCTTCGTAAAATGGTTGCRTTTAAAAAATTATTATCCTTTGACTACCCTTTTTATTACTGTGTATTACAAGTTACAAAAACACACGGCACATGCACACTTCGAGCACAGGTCTGTCGATTGCGTATGTCTAACTTTTCCTCTTCACTGMAACTTTACGCTCAACTAATGCTCTATGTTGCGTCACTTAGTTGTTTTTCTTTTTTCTGTTTTTGTTATTTTTGTTTTTGTTTATTTTATTTTTACTTGAATTTTTATTTGTATTTGAATTTTCATAGAAAAGGAAAATTATTGTTTTATTTCGTCTTACATTGCGAGCAAATAAGTAAAGCTTCCCAAAAGTTCTCCCCACCCCCCGTAACAACGAAGTCTGTGCCGATGTTTACACATATACGTATACACCTACTGTTTTTGCACACCTATACAACTAAATACAAGCACAAACACTTACACATACACATACACATGCATATGTTGTGCTCGGAGCACAGTCGTCAGTCGTCAGTCGTCGGTGGGGCGGACGTTTCGCCTCATTTCTTTTGTGCAATTAAATTTAGTCTGTTCGTCCTCCGGTTGCCTCGTAGTTTAGTCTAGTATACATATATTTGTTGCTTATTTATGTGTGTGTGCTTTCCCCTTAAAGTTTACAAAGTTTTTCAGTTAAAATTTCAATTTTGTTCTCTTTTCGGTGCATTTAGTTGTCTTTTGTTGCTTTTCCCTTTTAGCAGCTGCCTGCTGTAGTTGTTCTAATTTGATATATTTTTATATTTATTATGCTATACTACTTCTGCTCCCGCCTCGTCAGCTGCTTCTCCTTTTTCCGCTACAGTTTTAATTCCTACTTTTTACATGCAGTCATTATCCATTGTTTGCCGCCGGGCTGCCCGGCCAGCCGGTACTGACAACGGCAGCGGCACCGCCCAGGCCCTTTACTCAACAAAAACAGCAACAACACTGCAAGTGCACAAACGCCGTTTCACCTTTTCGCATTTTGATTTTATGCGCATTCGTCTGCCCCTCCCCTGCACCGGCACCTGCTAAATATGCCCGGTTGTTCCTAAGTGTGCGTATGTATGCATGTATGTGTGTGTACTTTTGCTTTGCCTGTTTGTTTCTGTACTCTGCTTCGCAGTTTTGTTTAAGAAATGGAGATGGATATTTTTCAAAAGGTACATATCAGCTGGGTCTAATTGTAGTTGTAGTTGCAGCTACAGCGGTCTTTTGTTTTGTCTACATTTTCCATTACCTTCGGTTGGTGGTTCGGTGGGCCGTCGCAGGTCTGCAGCACAAACCGAAGGCRGTGGCACCCAACGGCGGGCCGGTGCCGCTGCCCTTTGTAGCTCCCTCTTTGCGCCTTCAATAGCGCAACATCTGCAACACAGCTGCCAGCGTTGCCACTGTGACCCATGTGTAGCGGGTGCCGAATGTTAGACTCATTGTTGGTCGTCCCGCCGCCGCTGTTTCTGCGGCATGTGARGCGCCATTCCCTAATGCTGCCATCCCTATGCTGGGCGCCGTTGTTGTTGTCGAAGAAGTTTCCGCTCGCATGAGTTCAACTGTCGCGGGTAGCAGGACGGAGTTCGTCAGCCGGTCGTCAACCGTTGTATAAGTATTTGGTAGCATATGAGGTGATTTAAAGGTGACGCAAGCGGTGGTAGCGCGGAATATGGAAGAGAAAATGGAGAGAAACAAATAAAAATTAATTTGGAGGTAAATTTCAAACGCGTTCAAAATACACTTTAACCCGTGTTTAGTTTCGCCCCATTACCGGCTGCTGTCAAACTGGCAATGGTGGCGCTGTAACTGCCGAAATCGGTTGCTAAAGTATTAGATTGACATTTGGAGCGAAGATAAATTGATGAAATTAATTGAGCAATGACAGAGAAGCTAAGCCGCCAAGCTTTGAGGACACCCAAACACATTTATTAATATGGTATATGTATACAAATGTTTAGATATATAAAACAGTATGTGTAAGTGTGCTTTTGGTAGGCATTAAAAATAAGGTCTTCAGTTATTTTAAGTGCAGCACTTAAGCCGTCCGTAGAAGTAACTGAGCTCCGGCAGTTAAAAAAGGTCACTGGGTAAGTGGCTGTGCGCAMACTAAATGAATCAGTTATGAGTTAAAAATAATCGAAAGGAGAAAGCACCGACCCTCTACTTAGTAAACTAATGCAGGAAATTTGGAAAAAAMCAAAAAATTGCTAAAAGGGTGTGATATATTAATTACATTAAACTTGTGATAAAATAAGAAAAAAATACAATTAATATCCTTCATAGATACATAGCAAAAGATACATTATCTTGATTTCGATCAACTATATTGTATGACAACTATGTGCTATAGTATTCCGATTATAATAATATATTGTGCCCAATAAGAGAGTTCTCCTATAGTGCCAAATATGTTTCCGAAGAAGCTTCTTGGATGGAATTTGCGACATTTCAGATCGATATCTCAAAATTTGATTAACTAGTATGCGTATATGCGGACAGACAGAGAGACATGATCAGCCKGGAAATCCAACGCAGGATAACTCTTGCCAACAGGTGCTACTTCGGACTGAGTAGGCAATTGAGAAGCAAAGTCCTCGACAAACAAAAATCAAACTCTATAAGTCACTAATAATTAACGTAATGCTGTATGGTGCAGAGGCTTGGACGATGTCAACAACTTATGAGTCGACGTTGCGAGTTTTCAAAGGAAAAGTTCTGCGAAAGATTTATGGTCCCTTGCGCTTTAGCCACGGCGAATATCGCATTCGATGGAACGATGAGCTGTATTATTGACATAGTTCAGCGAATTAAAAGCAGCGGGTACACTGGCTAGGTCGTGTTGTCCGAATGGACGAAAACACTTCAGCTCTGAAAGTATTCGACGTTGTACCCGCCGGGGGAAGCAGAGGAAGAGGAGCACCTCCACTCCGTTGGAAGGACCAGGTGGAGAAGGACCTGGCTACGCTTGAAATATCCAATTGGTGCCACGTAGCAAAAGGCAGAAACGACTGGCGTGCTGTTGTTAACTCGGCTATAATCGCGTAAGCGGTGTCTATGCCAATTAAGAAGAGAGACATGGCTAAAGCGGTTCAACTCGTCACGCTAATCATTTATATATTTACTTCATAGTGCCTCTGAAGTTTTCTTCTGTGTATTACCAACTTCGTGTTGAACTTCATCTTCTAAYATATACATATATTTATATTAATTCTGTAGAATTAATCTGAGACATCTTAAGAGTAAAGCTTGCCCAAAGAGTGTATTCGCCAACAACTTTTTTCGGTTCCTGTGTTCGAACTTATAAATTAGCAAAACGCTTAGTAGAAAATACAAATTTGCAGAGGTGTTCATTTTCCACTCCCGCCAGTTCGGTGGGATGTTGGGATGTTTGAAGATAGTGATTAAATTTTTATCACCCAAATGCGGGACAGTCGACAAGGAAGTTTTGAGTTGTTTCCACTTCGTCTTCTGCCACACGTCTTTAGCAAATGGTGTCTAGTAAGATTATCAACCTTACAGCATGACCCCAATAGGGCAGTGACCTGATAAAAGCCTCACAACCAGGAAGAGACTAGTCTTACTAGTGACTATCGATCGATTTTACGCTAGAAGGCTTTTGCGACAGCGCTTGTACGGATGGTGGCCCAGCGTTGGCCCAGCTACCGCGAAGCCCTGCTATCTAGTAGTAGAACAAAAAAAGATACGGCTCATATTCTGCAACGATGCTAGGGTGTCTTTTTTTACTAAAAGATTTACAATTTCCTGCAATTCTGCTGCGCCCTGGCACCCATACCAGTTTTATCACAAATACCTTCGATGCTATTTATAGCGAGGTTCGGCACTCCTTTACGCACCCTGAACGCACTGTTATTGAGTTCWRGGCTAGCATCGCTGATCTGCTATCTGAGTGAATGGTCAATTCTCAGAAGGAGGCTGCACCCCGTAGAAGTAAGTCTACTCATACTTTAATGGCTGAAGTTAAAGAATGCTTAAGAGACAGTAAAAAAGCGGAAGTTCCTGGCAACTAAAGACTTAAAAAATGATTTGAAGACGCAATGCCGCTTCATTATACAAATTCAAAAYATTTCCTACCAGCAAAAAGTACTGAAGAATTATAATATCCGATTTCTGTTTCTCATTAATCCCACGCATAGTCGCTTTTAATTCTGTTGGACTTAATGCGTACTATATAAAAGAAAAAGTGATCTTCCTACCAAATTATTCTGCTCCAATGCCTACTACTTGCCACACGACTCAGATTTTATAACTGACGATAAGATTTTAAATCTGGCTAACACTTGAAAATATTGAATATTAAATTTCAACATCCGACACACACACAGATAGAAGACAACATTTACGCGAAAGAAGAGACGACATGAGCCTTTATTTGAATTTCATATTCAACTCCACCGGATGTGAGCTAACGAATATCCGTTCATCTACGACTACTTGATTGATGGCGTGGATTTAGTTTTAAATAAATGAAATATGAAAAAGGACCTTAAAAAGGTTGAGCCGAGTAAGTGCGTGTTTACTTGACCCAAATTCACTCAAGCAACTCATTCAGCTGGTGTGAATATCCACAAACGAAATTCCACATCAACTTCAACCGAAACTTTGCTAGATACCAGAAAATACTGTCGACAAGCATTCAACAGCGCCTTTGTGCAATTGAAACCCGAAACAAAAATGTCAACAAAACAAACAAGGATTAAGCAGAAACACACTTGGCAGCTTACAGCGCTCAGAGCAGCACTCAGCTCTGCGACATACCCACCCATTTGGCATAGAAGAGGATGGTGGGACGGCGTGGTGGTTGGAAAAGCAATTGCCAATTGCTGGCTAAACGCGGGATTTGTGGGAAAAGTCAGTCGAAAGAAATATTCGGAAAGCAATTCAATCCAATGACTGACTAAGGGATTTTCAATGTTCTGATTTGTTTCCCATTTGTACGTGCATTTGGCGGATTAGAAGTGAAAGTGAAAGTAAAACTTTGTTCGGCTAATCTCTGCTGGCAGTGATGATTGGTCGACAATGCGGGTGAGCGCATGTGGGGGGGCTGGTGTTTTTGGTTTGGCAGGCCATCAGTTTGTCCAACTGTTGTTTGATGTGGAAGTTGAGCAGTGTGATAGGAGTGACAGCCGAGAGCATTAAATGCCGTTTTGCCTTGGCACTTCGCATTGACAGGCTGCACAATTAATTATTTATGAGTTGAGATGTGAAGACGTTATTGTTGTTGCTGCTGCAACTTTGTTCTCACTTTTACTTTACTTTACTTTTAGCACATAAACTGCCGAAAAACCAAACAAAATGGCAGTAAGGCCACGCGCACGCATGCAAACGAACTCCACTATGTGCTTCCGTGTAMGCTACACACACACATATSTACATAGCTGGTTYACAACTTGTTTAATTCTTCTTCTTGTTGTTGTGTTCGGTGGCTTTTGTGGTTAATGCAAATTAATTTTCTACGCATTTTGCGAAAGGCGCAAGCAAAGAAATTGAGCCCTCCGACGCTCGAGTGCAGGTGTGTGTGTGTGCAATAAATTACTAGGATCCTTTGGCGCATAACAGGCCTCTCAGCCGCATGACTAGGCGCCATTCATTTCCCTGTCCGCCCAGCTCGTCAAGCAGTCACAATAATAGCGACAAACGCAATGGCAAAGGCGAAGGCAAAAACAAAAACGTTATTTTAATGCAAAGTAAAGGACAGCTTGACTGCCTGCTTACTGTTGCTGATTACAACAGGTGAAAGTAGTAAGGTATGTAAGAAGAAAGAAAAGGGTGGTGCGGCGTGTGAGCTGTGAATAACTGCTTTGCAATAGCTCATGACGCGGCAGCGTGGCTCGTTAGTCCGCAGAAACAATGGCTCACATTTTTTCTCACAATTTACGACAGTTTTGACGCCAACTCAGTAACGGTACATAGCACACACCCACCAGCAATACAGCAATATGCATACGTGTGTATATGTGTGTGGGTGGCTTTTCTTCTTGAAAGCGCCCATTTAATGTGCAACTTAATGACTTCCTATGAGATTTCGGTGCCATATATTCAGGGAACTCGTAAAAATATACACAAATATATATGTAATTCTTATGAAGTATTGGTATTTTCGTATAAGCATGCTTAAATAATGGCAATGCATCAAATCTGAAGAGGTGTCTTTTCGGGAGTGCGGATGACGTACTTAGCATAAAATAAAACCGGAAATAGATTTTTACTCCACSTACGTTAGGGTGAGTGTCCCTCTGTTATGAATGACATAGTATTTATCATTTATTTTAAGGTTCGGGAGAATGTTGAGAATATTAACGCTAAATTAGTACACAAAAAAATGTATTAAGTGTTTCTGRTGTAAAGGCTTATGGTTATYCAAAAACACAAGTCTACGAGTGGTACAAAGCTTTCAAAGACGGTGAAAAGATCGTTGAAGACATGCCTCGTTCCGGACTAGTCCGTAATTTTTTGAGAAATAGATCCGATATTTTGTTGRCATCACCCAAAAAATAGCATTTATCAGTCAATATACTATAAACTTAACGACCRGAATTAA